GGCACAACTGCCCAGGATTAAGGTTAAAATGGAGATCATAAGACTAACAAAGCCAGCTGCAGTAAGAAGACACCAACTTGTAGACAAGACCTAAGGCCTTGCAAGGCAATGGTTAAGTTACGCCCTACAAGCCATCAAATCTCATTAGGCCAGTTCTTTTAAATTAACCCAGTGTGTGGCTTACTTTTCAACTGACTCTGGCATAGCATCACATGACAGATCTCTTTATTTTTTTTTTTATTTTTTTATTTTTTTTGAGATAGGGTCTCACTGTCACGCAGTCTGGAGTGCAGTGGCACGATCTCAGCTCACTGCAACCCATGGGTTAGAGCAATTCTCACACCTCAGCCTCCCAGGTGGCTGGGATTACAGGTGAGCGCTACCACGCTCGGCTAATTTTTTGTATTTTTAATAGAGACAGCATTTCATCACGTTGCCCAGGCTGGTCTTGAACTCCTGGGCTCAATCTGCCCACGTTGGTCACCCAAAGTGCTTGATTAAAGGCATGAACCACCATACCAGCCACCACCTTAATGTAAGCATTTCTTTGTGCTGAATTCAAGTCTTTAAACAAAGCTTTACTCCTTTAACCAACTGCAAATTCGAGAATCTGAGTCCACTTATAACCTGTAAGCCCCCTGCTTTAAGATATCCCACCCTTTGGGGCTGAACCAGTAGATACCTTCCATGTATTGATTTATGTCTTTGCCTATAATTCCTGCCTCCTTAAAATGTATAAAACCAAACTGTAACCCCATTGCCTTGGGACCACCCACTGAAGGTTTCTTGGGTTTGTGTTTTCTCCAAGCCATGGTCACTCATATTGGCTCAGAATAAACCTCTTTAAAAGACTTCACAGAGTTTGGTATTTCTGTTAACACCCCCGAAGGAAATCAGAATATTGCACCTCAAAATATGACTGAACTAAAGAAGCGGCCTCAAGGTCTTTGTGACCTCTCCACTGCTTCCTGTCTCAACCCGTGGTCTCTACCAAGGCCCAGGATAAGGCTGGGCAGTCCTCTGAAGCTCCCTTATCTACCTAGAAACCAGACCCCCTAAGACAAACACAATTGCCTGCCCTCTCCTCCCTCAGACCTCATTATCTCATGTGGAAAAGAAGACCGAGGAATGCACACACCTGGACGAACTTTCCCACCAGATTAAGCCTGCCCCTCTGGCCCATCAAATTCCAAAGAGAATCACTGGCAAGTTACTTTGTCTCCCAGTCCATTCATTCTCCCTAATAATCATTTACTGCCACTCAAAAGAATTGTCTGCATTCCACATTTCCTCCCTCCCCTGTGAAGAACAGTATATAAGCTGCTGTACCCCTTTGGATTATCAGGCAATCATTCTCTCATGCTGTGCATATTTAAATAAATTGTCATACCCTTTCTCCTATTAATCTGCCTTTTGTCAGTTGATTTTCAGTGAATCTTCTGAGGGTGAAGGGGAAGCTTTCTCTCTGCCCCTTACCCCCTGTGATACCCACCCAGCCACAGCTGGGTTCCTTCACCCTGTCGCTACCTCTCCATGCAGCAGAAACTTCTCTCTTTGAAGAAGGAACTTAGGATGGGAACTGCCAGTGCTAAGCGCCTACATGGTGGGATTTCCTCCCCAGGGTCTGATTAAACCCTCTTTGATGGTGACATTGAAGGGCAGTGTATCCTGAACAGGGACACCCAACTGGGAAGTGGCTAGACTAACAGATACAGCTCTGTCTGTCTGCAAAACCTAAGCTGCTTCAACCATGGCACATGGTGTCCCAACTCCACGAACACCAGACTTGCAAAAGGAGCAAATTCTGGTTCCTGATGCCAGCTAAACAGTTGTGTCTTCCTCTCTCTGTCTCCTTTGTAAACCAAAACTAAAATTCTAAGCCACCCAACCATCTAAATGGAGTCCTCCTCTCAGCCAAGGGCATTCCAAAGTTAACCTAAAAAACGAGTTCAGGCCATGATGGGAAAAAGGTGTCAGACGTGCCTCATTATATCCTCCTCCCGTTGGAATTCAGGCACAACTGACCAGCATTAACATTAAAACAGACCTTAATGTTAGTCCAAACTGCACCATTTTGTAAGCCCCCTGCCATTTCACAGACCTTAGTCAAAGTGAAGCATGTCATGAGGGTTCAGGCCCTGAGAAACATCCTGCCTAGCCACCTGACCACAAGACACAGGAACATCCTTATCATACCCTGCCAAGCAAAGTCCCAACTGAAGAAATATCCCTGTCAAATCCTGCTGGACAAAGAGCCCAGGGAACATCCCTGGCCAAACCATCTGACCATAGGAACATCTTATCAATATCCTCCAGGGCAGCAGACCATACTGCCCAAACCCCTCCCGCCCATACCTATACGTACCCCGCCTGTAAGCAATGGTGGGTTCTGGCATTAAGCTGGTCCCCAACCTCCACAGGTTTCTGCAATATACCTGTGCTATTATAAAGCCTGTGTGTGTGTGTGTGTGTGTGTCTGTCTTTCTTTAACCCTAACCTTCCCTTTAAAAAACTAACACTTAAGACTTTTTGTAGCAATAAGACACCAAATTCCAGTCTGACTCTAGTATAGTATCACATGACAGATAGCAGGCCTTGAAAGAAATTGAAGTATTTTACCCTAAAATATATTTTCGTCACGTCCTGAAATGGTCCTGCAAAGTTGTCTCTTGTGGGAAAAGTCTACATTCTGTAGAAAATCCCTTTCCCTTTCCAGGTCTTTTCTCTGATCCAGGAGAGAATTAACAGAGTCTGGCACCTTTTCAAGTCTCATAAGAAACATTTACAATCTATTCTCTCCAAAGGCTGCTACCTGGAAGCTACATCTGCATAGTAAGAACCTTGGCCTCCACAACCCCTTATCTTAACGCAGGCACTCCCTTCTATGGATTTGAAGTCTGTAGATAAACTCTTTTAATCAATTGCCAATCAGAAAATCTTTAAATCCACCTATGACCTGGAAGCCCATGCCCCACTTCCAGTTGTCCCGCCTTTTGGAACCAAACTAATGTACATCTTACATGAATTGATGTCTTATATCTCCCTAAAATGTATAAAACCAATCTGTAGCCAGACCCCTTTGGGCAGATGTTCTTAGAATCTCGTGGGGCTGTGTCACCGGCCACTGATCCCTCATGTTTGGCTCAAAATATATCTTTTCAAATATTTTACAGAGTTCAACTCTTTATCAACATCTTTTTTTTGTTTGAGATGGAGTCTCGCTCTGTCGCCAGGCTGGACTACAGTGGTGTGATCTCAGCCCACTGCAACCTCCCCCTCCCAGGTTCAAACAGTTCTCCTGCCTCAGCCTCCCTAGTAGCTGGGAGTGTAGGAGCATGCCACCACACCCAGCTAATTTTTGTATTTTCAGTAGAGATGGGGTTTCACCATGTTGACCAGGATGGTCTCGATCTCTTGACCTCATGATCCACCTGCCTTGGCCTCCCAAAGTACTGGGATTACAGGCATGAGCCACCGTGCCCAGTCCTAACGCCTTATTAAACATTCCCTGTCCACCATTAATCATCATTCACCCAGTCTCCTCTCTCCCCACCCCTACCCCCTCCTCCATCCAGCCCCCTGACATTCTGGCCCCAGTTCACACAGCCTCCTGCACAAGCAGCAAACAGGGAGGATAAGCACCTCTGTCAGACTTGGGACATCTGTGGACCTGCTCCTGTGCCCTCTGCAGGCCTAGGATAAAGGCTCATGCAGGTTTGGTAGCACCTGTGAGTCAGGATGGATCGCCTTACACCTGTTAAATTAGGTTTAGCCTAAAGTTGCCTTCTGACATATTTTAAGTTCAGCCTAAAGGTCCTCCGTACATTGTGAACTGTACGCTTCCATTTTCTGGGAGTCACTTTCCTTTTTCTGTCCATAAATCTTCTTCTACCACGTGGCAGCCCCAGAGTCTCTCTGAACCTATTCCGGTTCCCCATGCCCAACTGTGACTCGTTCTTTGCTCAATTAAACTCAGTTAAATGTAATTTGTCTAGGATTTTCCTTTTAACAGATCTAAGTGTTTCTTTAATTAGAAACAAATATCCTGCTCTTCTCCACGACAGATTGTGTGAATCAAACCACAAAACGTGAGTCTGACGGTTCAAGATCTTCATACAATCTCAAAACAGACTGGCTAGGCAAGACATTAAGCGTGCATGGAGGCCTGGACTGGATCCTCAGCTGTGAGGCCTTCCTGCTTCTGGCTGTTTGTGTAACCTGAGCAGTCTACAGCTTGGCCCTATTTCCAGGTACAGGCACACTTGGAAATATAAAGAAATATGCATGCTTGGTAAGAAGTCTTGCACTCTTGCACTGGGACCCTTTTCCCCAGCTGACACTGTAGGTAAGATAATATGAATTGAGCAAATGTGACTCCCATGGAGTAAAAGCCCTCTATTTAACCAGGCAGTCGGGATATTGAATAATCCTAGTGGGAAGCTCTTTTAAAATTTAGAGCTAATTACTTAATCTCAAGCTCATATTTCTGAAGGAAGTTTTTTTCAGCCTGATAATCATACTACCATAGGCAGTTTATTTAAGAAAACACCTTAATTAAAACAACGTTCAAGAAATCACAACCAGGTTTAGAAGCAGGCACCTTTCCTTTGGAACGCTTGTAATTAATATTCACACCACTTCCTGCAGGTTAGCAGGCTACTAATGCTCGTTTGAACGGACTGTGGGTCGTGATCACAGATGATGCAGAATGGCTGAGCTCTGAGGCCTCACAGAGTTCCAGTTGGGAGAACTAATCTCTGGAATGTTCTCAGTCTCTGCTTGCCCCTGGGAAGGAGGGGAGCAGGCAGCATGGGTGACCCTGAGGCGACTGTGCTCTGAGGACCATGAGCCACCTGCAAGGGCAAGTAGGAAACAAAACACCGGACCTATCTCCCTCCCTCCCTATCCTCTCTCCCGCAAGCCCTGTCTCTCACACAGGCGCGCGCACACACACACACACATACACACACACACACACACGAACTTCCCATGCCTCTTACTTTGCTGACAGGCCGAGAGAATAGAGACAGCAGCCAGCAGGATCGAGTTCCCGGCCATCTTTCTCACGGAACTATTTGTAGAACGCAGGGGAAGATAAGAGGCGCTTCTTGACTTTGAATGCTGACCTTCCTTATCTGGTAAACAAAGTTGGGGAAGGTGGGGGAAAAAGGCTGAGTCAAGCGGCTAAATGACCTTTGCCCTGGAACAGAAGTCAGGAAGGCAGGCGGGTCTGGCGCTGCCGGTCACAGATCTTTCTGGGGCTGGGAGTTGCTTCCGGCGTTTGTTTTAAGCCTCTCCCATGGCCGGCGGGCAGGGCTACAGCTCACTGTGGGACCAGCCCTCCAGCCGCAGCGCCACAGTTACACTATCTTCTCAGCCAACGCACAGACTCTCTGGATCCCTTTCATCCCCACGCCCTTCCCTCCCCGGGCCTTGCTGAGCCCTTTCTCACCTCCTGTGGAAAGAGTGAGAAGGAAGTACTTACTTAATCCTGATGAAATTTTAAATGCTAATTTAAGCCAGTTCTAATTTATTCACGCTGTGAATGGCCGATTTTGGATTTGAACCCAGTCTAGCAGATTGCAATTGTGCCCTATCCCCTGCACCAGGCTGCCTCTCACTGTCACCTTGAGACTCTGATAATAATCTTACTTTTTTTTTTTTAGACAGGGTCTTGATCTGTCACCCAGGCTGAAGTGTAGTGGCACGATCATAGCTCACTGAAGCCTCCAACTTTTGGGCTCAAGTGATCCTCCTGCCTCAGCCTCCCAAGTAGCTAGGACTACAGCCACAAGTCACTGTGCCCAGCCATTTTTAAAAAAATAAACCGGCCGGCTGCTGTGGCTCATGCCTGTAATCCCAGCACTTTGGGAGGTCAAGGAGGGCGAATCACGAGGTCAGGAGATCAAGACTGTCCTGGCTAACACGGTAAAACCCCTTCTCTACTAAAAATACAAAAAATCAGCCGGGCATTGTGGCACGCACCTGTAGGCCCAGCTACCCAGGAGGCTGAGGCGGGAGAATCACTTGAACCCAGGAGGCGGGGGTTGTAGTGAGCTGAGATCACGCCACTGCACTCTAGCCTGGGCAACAGAGTGAGACTCCACCTCAAAAATAAATAAATAAATAAACCAGGATAGATGTTCTAAGACCTCCTCAAAAAAAATAAAAATAAACCCAGGATAGATGTTCTGCAAACCTCAAAAAAATAAAATAAAAATTAAAATTAAATAAATCAGGATAGATGTTCTGAGGAGGAAGAGGACCCCTGAGGAAAGAAATGGACCAATATTTAAGTGGAACCCCTAGTAGGAAACTGCACATATGGCCACCACACCTGCCCAGGGCCTCGCCATTGTCAGACAAAGACACATGCCACCCAGGCAGAGCACAGGCCTCCACAGCTGGGGGCTTCTTCTGCAGAATCTATTTATCACAGCCCCTTCCCCTCTGTCAACACAATCGTTTTGCTCTTTAGAGATGCAGATTCTGGCCGGAATGGTGGCTCATGCCTGTAATCCCAACACTTTGGGATGCTGAGATGGGCAGATTGCTTGAGCTCAGGAGTTTGAGACCAGCCTGGGTAACATGGCAAAACCCCATCTCTAAAAAAAATACAAAAATTAGCAGGGCGTGGTGGCACGTGCCTGTAGTCCCAGCTACTTGGGGGACTGAGGGAAGGGGATTGCGTGAGCCCAGGAGCCTGAGACTGCAGTGAGCTAAGATCATTCCACTGCACTCCAGCCTGGGTGACAAAGTGAGACTCTGCCTCAAAAAAATAATAAAAATAAAGATGCAGCATCCCAAAAACCAAAGCTGGGGACTTTCCTCACCCCATCCTACAGCACTATTAGAGGGTATATCTTGGCTCAAGCTGCTATAACAAAGATACCATAGACCAGTGGCTTACAATAGCAATTTATTCATCACAGTCCTGAAGGCTGGGAAGTCCAAGATGACAGTGCTGGCCAATCAAGTTCCTGGTGAGGACCCTCTTCCTGGTTTGCAGAAGGACACCTTCATGTTGGAGAGAGAGAAAGAGCAAGCTTCCTGGTCACTCCTTATAGAAGCACAGATCCCATTATGGGAGCCTATGCTCATAACCTCACCTATAGCTAATTATCTGCCAAATGCCTGATATCATCACACTGGGGGTTAGGGTCTCAACATATCAATTTCAGAGGGGACACAAACATGTAGTCCCAGTGCCTGCTGGGGAGGGCAGTTGCCTCAGCCTCACACAGACCCTACAGTTTAATGACATAACCTTGGGCCTCTCTGAGCCTCCATTTGATAAGATGAGGCTAATAAGAGCTGAAGAGAAGTTTAAATGATATAGTCCTATTCTAAGGATTGAATTAGTTAATACTTATAGAGCACTTAAAACAGCACCTGGCATAAAAAAATGTATTCTGTGTGTTTGCAAAATAAACACACAAAGTATCTAGACAAGTACTTAGCATATAGTGTACCTAATGTTAAAAGATACTTTCAGAAGTAAAAATCATGCCTTTCATACAATATAAAATGAAAACATATCAAAATTTTTATGTAACTCATTCATGAGGGAACCAGTAAGATGTTATAACCAATTCAAAGGAGAATTCACAGAACTACACATATATAGGAAAGAGGGAATAACAAAATTAATTTATAAATAGTTGCAAGCCAGGTCTGCTCAAAGTTTCTTGTTGGTCTTCAGACTTCCTTGGCTGTCTGCTCTTGAAATCATTGACAACTAAGATCAGATAAGAAGACAGAGCCAAGAAGCAAGGGCAGCACCAAGTATTCTTGTATGCTCAGTTTAATAGTTTTGGGCTTCAGTATATGGCAGAGATTCTAAACTGCAAACTAGCTGCCCTGAACCCGTATCACCATCTACTATAATAACCTCCCAATGACAGGTCTCGAAGGAGAGGTCTACACTAGGCCTGTGGGCAGGCAGAGGCTCTCAAAGTCAGAGAACTGCTCGGGAAGAGAGGAACAGCAGCAGGAGGAGCTGAGCAGAGAATTGTGGCCCTGGCTGATAACTGTAACTTTTGGGTGTTGGTAATCTTATTTTGAGAAACTCTTGGGTACACCTGTACTAGTCAACTGGTTTGAAAACAACAACTTCCCAGCTTCTGGACAAATCCTGAGGTTCCCTACTGACTTCTTCAAGTCAATCTTAAGTCAGTCCCCCAAATCCAGAGTCTAAGAGAAGTTTGACACAAAGTAAAAAAATTAAAAATCAATTAATCAATAAAACCTCAACTGCTTCAAAACCCCATGCGTTTATTTAAAAACATCTTCATTGTCAGTATATGTAGTTATTGCCTCTATGAAAGTATAAAAGAATTGAGCATTGGATAATGAAATATCACCTTCTGCAGTGATAAAATTTCCAGGTGGCCCACAGCTGAAATACTGCCATAGCATTAACAAAAACTCACAAAAATTAGAGTTTCTCTGTATGTTTTCCCTGGATTGGTTGAAGAGGAATGGCATTTTCCCTGTATGTGGTTCCCATAGATCCTTCTAGTATGTTCCATTTATTACATTTTCCTATGAAAAGGAAAATAAAAGGACAAACAGCATACTGGTAATTGCTACGGTCTGAATGTTTGTCCCCTCCAAAACTCATGTTGAAATTTAACTTCCATTATTATGGTAGTTATTAAGAGGTAGGGCAATAAGAGGTGATTAGGCCATGAGATCTCTGCTCCCATGAATAGATTAATGTTGTTATCATAGGAGTGGATTGTTATAAATGTGAGCTTGGCCCTCTCTAGCCCCCTCCCTCTCTTACCCTTTGGGATGACATAGCACAAAGGTCCTCACCAGATGCCAGCACCTTGACATTGAGTCTCCTAACCTCCAGAACTGTGAGAAATAAATTTCTTTTATTTATAAGTTACCCAGTGTGTGGTATTCTGTTATAGCAACAAAATGGAATAAGACAGTAATGATAGTAAAATGTTTTTAAAATATTTTTATTATCTATGTAAACTCAAAAGAAACCTGAAAGAGTTTCTGAGGACTTCAGTTATTACTGAATCACTGTTACCAAAATTATACTCTAGGTAAGGTGAAACAGAGAGGCCAAGATGTGATCGCAAAAAACAAACCTGAACCATGTGAAAGAACTGCTTTCATGAAATGTAAACTCTAAATGTAACTCTTTCAGTATAATTTTGGTAACAGATTAAAAGAAATGATATATTAAACTATAGAAATGTTTTTCCTCAGCCGGGCATGGTGGCTTACACCTGTAATGCCAGCACTTTGGGAGGCCAAGGGCAGATCGCCTGAGGTCAAGAGTTCCAGACCAGCCTAGCCAACATGGTGAAACCCCATCTCTACTAAAAATACAAAAATTAGCCAGACATAGTGGTGCACATCTGTAATCCCAGCTACTCGGGAGGCTGAGACATGAGAATCACTTGAACCCAAGAGGTGGAGGTTGCAGTGAGCCGAGAATGTGCTGTTATACTCCAGCCTGGATGACACAGCAAGACTCCATCTCAAAACAACAACAACAAAAAATGGTTTTTCCTCAAACCAATTGCAACCCCCCCAAATTATTCCCTGGTCTCACCCTCTCTGTTCACTTGTTACCCTTCCAAAAAAGACAGCACATCATACAGGTTTCTGCTGATCTCTACAGCAGAGCTGTCCTCACTCCCATCAGGCCAGGTAGCAGAAAGAGACAGAAAATACACCTCTTTCCCAGGAACTATCAGAGTGATCACGATTATCAATGACCACATAACTCTCCATGTACCCAGAGTTCATTACATTATCTTGCTAGAAGTACTGACTAATTGAAGAATCCTGTAACTACGCAGCAGTTTTTCTGGGTTTTGTTTTGTTTGGAGACGGGGTCTTACTCTGTCACCCTGGGTGGAATGCAGTGACGTGATCATGGCTCACCGCAGCCTCAACCTCCAGGGCTCAAGCCACCCTCCCACCTCAGTCTCCTGAGTAGCTGGATTTAATAGCGGCTTTAACACAGTAAGTTTTTAAGCAAAGTTCAGATAAACACAATTTGAAATTATGCTTCATTTTGCTACACGTTGCAAAAATTTAGGAAATTTTAGTCATCCTGCAGAATATGTTCTCCCATTTCAGAAACTGCAGCATTTTGCTCTGTAGCCCTGAGTGTGAAGAACCGAGCTAAAGAAGGCAAAGGCATTTTATTCCCATTGAGGAGACTTTGCCCTGGACCAGACAGGGCAAAAGGTTACAATTGAATGCCAGCCACCTTCCAGCAGAAACTGCCCACTACCCAACACCAGTAATGACATATCAAGGCTCAAAGATAAAGACAGAAA